GAGCTGAGGGTTGGGGATGGGCGATCCAAGCGTTGCCCCCCCACCTCCCGCCGGGGATGTTCTGTCACTCCTGGATATCCCAATGTCCCGCTAGTCCCCAAATACCCGCCGCCGTAACGTGTTTATTATGTATTTCAATGTATCTGAAGGAGGGGAACCCCCTCCCTCTGCCCTGACCTGCCTGGGCACCCTCAGCATCACGGCACAGCGGGGACCTGCTGTGCTCTGGTCCCCGTCACTGGTTTTCCCCACATCCTAAGCTCTGGGCTGGTGTGGGTCCTCCCTGAGCTGCCCTGTATCAGACACAGGTGCCGTGGGGGTGACAGAGTGATCCTGAGGGTGACAGGGGGAACCCCCACATGGAAGGACACCCCTAGAACGAGCAGCCTGGGGTGGGCTCACCCTCCCAGGCCCTGGGGTGCTGGGCCAGGCAGGTGCCCTGTGGAGCTCCAGTTTGTCTAACCAGTTGTTTTCATGATAAATCTTTACAAATGCATTGGGACAACCTCAGAAAATCCCATTCAGGGAATCAACGATTTATCCAAAGGCAGCTGTAATTAATCAAATTCATTCATTAGCAGGTGTTGGGTACCTGGTTCCCAATGGAGCAAGCTCTGGGCATACTGAGGTCCTGCAGATTGTTTGTCTGTTTGATGTAAGATGATATCTAGCCCTGCAATCCATCAAATAATCTCTGCATGTAAAGAGTGAATGTCCACAGCTATCCACCAAGAGTCAATATTACCCCAAACTTTCTTCCTCTTAAATCCATCCTATAAGATTTCCAGGAAGACTAACCACAATCAGATTTATTTAGTCATTATTCATACAGATTTGGAGATAAATGTTTTCCAGCACTCATCCCACACTAGTTGAAAGAATGACTAATAATCTCTTAACACCAATGTTCCTTTCACTTAAAAGCTTTTGCCCTGACATTTCTATCAGATAAGAGGTGTTTGTCAGGGTTGCTGTTCCCAGCTTGTCTCACCTGTTGTTTCTGGTCCTTGGAAAGTTTTTTGAGATGGATCGAGAGGATTTTATGCTGAAGAAGGAAAATGGAGCAAGACTCCTCAGCCCCCAAGTTGGGGAGAGCTCATGGCCCCACAGTTCAAGCACAAATCAGTGCTCCTGGACTGAAGTTCTCCCATGGAAGCAGCAAGGGAGTTTCTTTGGAATCTTTGTCTATAATGAAGAGTTACTGTCTCTTCCTGGTCCTAGAACTTCATTTTAGCCTTGTGGAAAGCAACTGCAAGCCCCACAAACAAAACACTCTTCTGCTGGTCTAATTTTACAGCCTGGATGTGCACATTTATCTCAATAGCTGTCTCTAGAAATGCTCTGGTTTGGATTCTGTTGCCTCATGTTTCTGCTGCAAGACAGTTAACAAGGAGAGTGTTGCATCTCCCTGCTCTGTCCCAGCAACTGTTCCTGGGTGTTCCATGTGCTGCCTCCTCCACTTTTCCTCCACGCCAAGTACTGGCAGGAAAAATTAAGATATATACTTAAAAAAAAGACTTCTAATTACACACTGAAATATCAGCTACCTGGAATCAATGTGGCTGTTGATTTACAATCAACACTTCTAACAGGCTGGAGCAGTTTGTACCAGCCAAATCTTTTTTTTCCTCAAAGCTATTAGGAGAGTATTGACCACCCAAGAAATGAGCTAGGGGCTCCCATTATTAGAGACCTCAGCAGCATATTTCTATGAGCTAGTTGATCTAATGAATCCCATTAATTCCTTGGCAAGTTTGTCTCAGCCACACATGAAGAATTCCCACTAGAATGGGTAAATAGCTCTGCCCTCCTATTTTTCTCATAGATCTGGGTTTGAGCAAAGAGCTCCCTGCCTGGGAGCAGCCAAAGGTTCCCACAGGAAGGACCACATCCCTCCAGCACCCCCTTTGCTCCCCCCCATCACTACTGAGTGGCCTGGGAAAAACTCTAAGTCCCTATCCTGGTGTGGGATGATGAAATGAATGACAAAAGTATCTCCTCTTGCCTCCACTTCTGCTCCTCCTGCAAAGTTTTAATCCACCTTTCAAGCTAGAGCTGGGCTGGAGGTGCACCATGCTCCTCTGCTGTCCCAAAGCCTCCAGCCCAAATCCTCACTATTTGTTTCTGAACTTGCTGACCTTTTAGCTAAGCTGGGCTTGTTTTAATATATTTTGTATATGTGTGTCTGTGGCTTAAAAAGGAAAAGAGTGAAGGGAAGCAAGAGAAGTCTGATCTCAAATGTTACAGGAAGGCATTTACTTAAAATCTTGCAGGAAAATGTCACCCAAAGACCTCATCTATTAAAACTGCCTGGACTTTGAGCTGAGGGTCCCACAGTGCCCAGGATGTGAAGCCCACAGGTTGTCTTACTCACTTTTATGTTGGCTCAAGTGTTTTTCATCTTTGCTTTTTCCAGTTGCAACTGGGGATCACTAGTGATTTTTTCAGATTAATCCTATTCTTGTCTGATTTTGCCAGGTGGGATTTTTCCGAAAGGCACAGAAAGCAGCAGAGAGAAAGCTCTGCAAGAGGCTGGTGCTAAGATACAGCATCAACCTTTTTCCTGTTGAGGTCTGAGCACCCAGCCCAAAATACTTGTTAGAGTAGGTTCCTGAGTGAGGTAGTGTTGGGCTGATTCAAGCCTTTAAAATCAGTTCCTAGTAGACTCACTACAGGCAGGCTCTCCCTAACAGGCAGGAGAGGCTAAAGTGGGTAAGGAAGGTAAAATCCTGGGATGTACAGGGCATTTTTGAAGGATACTGCACTTGAAAAGCAAGGCAGAAATGGGATGATAGGAAAAGGGACATGTATCAGCTTTGTTGATGACCATATTGACTGTATCATTACTTACAGACATGGAAGAGCATCCCTCCCTACACTCAACATATTGCAAAATAAAGTATTGCTAGTTTGGATGAGCCATAAAAGGTTCCCAAGGGCTGCATGTTATTTACTGCCCTTGGCTGAACTGATTTCAGGAGGTATTTTTGAATCAAAACCGTTGATATATGGGATATTTATTGCCCCTAATTTTCATAACAGAGGAACCTGCTGAGGCTCTGCAGTGTAAAGACCCTGCTGGGGAGGTTGGCAAAGCAGACAGCCCACACCCAGAGCAAATCAACCATCACACACCCCAGAATCTGTGCGTGAGGATGTTGCTGAGAGAATTACCCTGAAGATGGATCAATCTCTGGGAAGAGACAGCTGGGAAATGAGGCGTCCAGACACTGTTTAGAGGCCCTATCTTCTATGTGCTGCACATTCCAATTCAGACCTTTACTTTGAAAAAGTCCTTTAAAATGAACAGATGCAGGGGTTGATAGACCCTGTAATACCTGTCGGAGACTGACACAGGAACTGGGCACACACAAGAGGCATCAACTGATTAATTTAGAGGCAAAAATAGCTTTTGAGTCCCCAAGTTGTTACTGCAACAAGTCCAAATCTGATGCCTCATGGCAATAGAGGCACTTCTATCTTCATACAGGCAGGACAAGACACACACACTCGTGCTCACCCTGCACATGGGGTCTCCCTTCAGAGATCCTCTCTTTTATTCCAGGAACAAATATAAAGAAAGAAAAGGAACAGAGGAGTAGGAAGGGAGAGTTTCTGCCACAGCCCCGGGTGCAGGGCTGGCACCCTCAGTGCCCATGCAGGAGCAGCTCCTCTGTTTCTTAAGGACTTAATCTCCTCTTGCGGCGCTTCCAAGAGCTCCGCTCAGCGGTGCCTGCTCGGAGGGCAGCCCTGGCTCCCGGGAACGCTCCAGCTCCCAGCTCAGCACACCAACATCTTCCCTCCCTCCCTCCCCCCCCCCCCACCATTTCTGGAAATCCCAGGAGGCCCAGGATTAACCTCATTTTCTCACCCCTCCAAAGAATTGCTGTGGTTTTCTAGAACACAAACATGCCCAGTCATTTTAATACCCAAATGAAAAAGCAGCACAGCAGAAATCCCTGACAGCCAAACACCCTTTGCTGCCTTTTCACAGTGACCTTCCCATACTTTGAAATGTTCCCAAATCCTTATTAAATGCCTTGGGTTTCAGGAAGCACACAAAGCACTGTGCTCTTTCCTAGTGAAAGTCTTTGTATTAAATGCTGGAAACACCGTGGGCTGGGAGGGTTTGCTCCTTTGTCATATGTCATCAAAAAGCCATGACATTTGCCCAGACATTGCTCTCTGCCTTGCTGCCTTACATCACATAGGCTGTTTCTGGAAGCCAAGAAGACCAGGAGGTAGAGGATCAGCCCCAGAGAGATTCCCAGTGGAAATCCTCCTGGCGTGTCCTACACTGGTTTCAAGTCAATCTGTGCTCTTTTGTCACCCTCAAGAACTTGGCGCTTCATGTCTTCCAAAGCACACTGTGACCTGCTGTAAACAAACTCTGGAAAACTGCTATTCTTCTCTCCAAGAGCCCACATCCTCCCATTCTTCACTCTGCTGGCACTCTGGATCTGCCTGAGCCTGGCTCCTCCCGAGCCCATG